GAACTCAGTAAATATGGATTTGATTTGTTGACATGGAAAATAACAGGTCTTACAGCTTACTAGTGCACAGACAGCATAGATCAGGTTCATCTTGTGACAACTGTTCCTCTTTGTTCATGTGAGCTGCTTATGTATGGACTATGTTGCCTTGCATGGCTCTCTAGGTTTTTCCCCCTTTCACATCTGACTTTAGCTTGCACTTTTTCAAACAAGTGCATTTGAACTTTAATTTCTCCAACAATTGTCCAAACAACGTTAAGTATCATGGTAGCCACAATGAGTGCAGTAGTTTGTACTCATTATCAGATTTCAAAACCAACTCAGTTAGCAGCCAGTGTAACTCATAGATTTGTGTTAAATCTTCATCAGTGTTTTCAGCATTTACTTGCCATCCACTCAAAAGCATTTCCCCCTCACCATGCATTTTCCACCATTATCAATTTCCGTGATCGACTTTGCTGTTCTCTTTTTCACTTGCATCGAGCACCTGTTTAGTCTTTATACTGACATCAGCACAAACTCAATCCCAGCCAGCCCCCCCCCCCCCCCTCCCCTTAACTACAAGCACTTGAAAGCAAACATAACAACAGATATTTAAAGTATCTGCATCAGTGCCTTCAGTCTCGACAACAATAAGATTCTTTCAGGAGGATACAACCCTTAAGTATAATATGGGTTATAAATCAATGTGGTTCTCATGTCACATTGAATAGCAGCAGAATATCCAAAATCTAATCACAGTGAGTGTTAATCTATTCCATCGTTGCTCTTTTACTATGAAAAGGTGCTACAGTACAGCAGCCACTAATCAGTGCCTCTCTGCTGGCTCATCAGTAGATTCAGGCTGTGACCCAAGATCTCTCACATCCCTTAGCAGCTGAGCTCAGCTCTGCTCAGCACATCACATCACAGCAAGTCGTCATGATTCTTCCAGGCTATTAAAAACAAGAACATGGATTTTCTTGACTAAGTGATTTGTCAATCGACAGTATCAAACATTTGGTGTAACCAGTGTGCTCATCTTTCACAAAATATGGCTACTACTATATGGCTCTTTAAGCGTTACACATATGAAAACTTCTAAAAGCTGTATATGACCAAAAAAAAACAAAAAACCTTTTCAGGGTTAAACTGATCCACACAAACTGACCTCCTCTACCATTTCAAAGGAGGCCCTACAGAACCTTATAAATATATTCCATCACAGTAGATAAATAGTGTATTTTTGTTAAATGACCCTACTGCACAGGAGGCATGGTACACAATAGGCTTCCATGTACATACTTCCTCCACACCTGCTCAAGTGTCACAGCAGGAACTATGACCACATCCCTAGTCATTTATACAAGCTCTATGAGCTAGTCAGCCCTCCAAAAATACAGGAAATGGTCACATTAGTAACAGTAGATATATATAATCAGCATCCTCACGAGGAGGAAGTGACATAAATAATGTGCAAATCGTTTAGCTTGGTGATAAAAGCTCAGCATGCTGCTCAAATCTGACATGTATGTAAATAAAGAGCAAGAAATAAACAAATTCATGCATGACCGACTGAGCACATGGCTGCCACTGTAAGCTTAACACAAGTTAATCATAACCTGCCATAAATTCTCTGAGCATTTAAAGTTGCAGTAAAGTTGGCTGTTTATAATCCTCCAGGCTGCCTTTCCCGGGACACAGTGAATCAACCTGCAGCATTGACATTCACAACATGTGGCTGCCTGCTTCACTCTGGACTTCCCTGAAGGGGAAGTAAGACTTCACATTCACTCCTAAACTAAACCAAACCAAACCAAACCAAACCGTGCCCCCAATACTATATTATAATTTCTCTACATTTACCTGTTGATTTTCAGAGCGAAAGCCCACCGATCTGCGCTGCCCAGAGAAGCCATACGCGAGTCTGAAGTCCAGTCCGGCGACGGTGTCGCTGGTGGCTTTGGTGTTTTCTCGCGGTTTGGCACCGTCGCTCTCTCCGACGCACCGCTCCTCCAGCTTCGCTACAGCTCAACTGTCACACCAACGCTCATCTTGGTTGCGGCGGCGGCAGCAGCTTAACTGGGTGTAAACTTCCGCATTTAATGAGAGCCATCCCGTGGAGACAGAGGGGGAGAGAGAGGGAGGTAGACATCGACGGTGCGAGAGTGGGAGGGGATGTGATGGGACAGGCTGGATGAGATGAGGCGCGCGCGCTCCCTCGCTGCCGTGGTGAGCTTTAACAAGCGCTTTCCTTCAGTGTGTGTGTGTGTGTGTGTGTGTGTGTGTGTGTGTGTGTGTGTGTGTGTGTGTGTGTGTGTGTGAGAGAGAGAGAGAAAAAAGCGCTGACCACTTTCGGCGTGACACTCAGACTGAGAGGGAAACCGAATAAATACACTTGTTTGATAGGTTGGCTCTGTCCAAATCCAAAAACGTCAGATTCACTTTTAACCACAACCGTAACCACATGAAGGTGCTTTAACCCAAACCCTGGCGGTGGAACCCTGAACCAAACATAGGTGTAGATTATCTCTGCTATGCATCGTGCCACCAGTATGATGGTGCACAAATCAAATCATCTGCTAAAAAAAAAAAGATTGCTGGTATATAAACTGTTATAAATGCCTTGCTGGCCTGTAACTTGCTCAAAAAAAAAAAAAAGCTATATTGGTTTTAATGAAGATTACTGAGTAGGTGCAATAATGTAGACTCATAAGGATACAGGAAAAACAGGGCATGTCTTTATATTATGTATAACTCCATTGTTTCAGTTGATTACAGCCTATTTACCAAAAATGAACAAAGATATTAGACATTGACAAACTAACAAAAAACAAATGTAAGCATCAGGAGTTTGGGAGCTAATTAAACAGGTGGGAGCAAACTGTTTGATCATTCATTAATTGTAAAATTGTCAAAATGTTAAAAAGTCTGCAGACAATGTTTAAAACTAAGTAAAGAGCCATCTTAACGAAACCTTAGTAAGTTAAAGAATAAGTTCTTCTCTAGCATGTGGAGAGATAGTCTCTCACTAAGAGAACTAACGGTATGTTTATTGTGACAGAAAGGGTCCCATTAACTATACTGCTTCAGTGTAACCAGTGCAAAGCACCTAATGTTCAAAAAGCAAAAAAACCCAAACAACAACAACAACACACACATCATACACTCACATACAAAACAGCAAAAAAATAGGACAATAGGGATGACATTCAAAATAAACCAAAATTGTACATAACCCCCCTCCCCCCCACCCACACACACACACTTCTTCCACCTCACGGTATTAGCTTAAATCTGATAACAGTGCTATTGTTCCAACCTTTTCTCTCCCACTTCTTGCTGAAGTCTTGTTGTATATCGCAAGTGTTCCTGAGTATATAACCTCTAAAAAGTGTAAAGTTTTTTAACAACACATTTTTTTGGGGGGAAGATATTTTTCACTATTCTCCATGTTTCACGCAGTGTTTAGCCACAAAAACAAGAAATTATGCAATCCAGAAGTTATAAGTTCCTATGGGAGTCTATGCTATGGTGCCGTTTTGCTTGGTCTAAGCCTCACAAACACTGGAAAACACATCAAGGGGATGCACACACACACACAAAGAAAAGAAAAGAAAATCTAAACAGAACATAACTGTCTTGTTTTGGAGTGTAGCAGAGCTCAGCAGCAGAGTACAAGAACAAATGATGAGCTGTTTATTTTAGACTGTTACAAAGCCCATAATAACATACATTCCAAAAAGTATGGTCCACAATTGCCAAGAAACATACAAACAAGGACAGGGATACACACAGAGAAGCAGATGGACAGGTAGCAGTGTAAGTACAAAAAGAGGCTTTAATTATGCATACAGAGGCAATGAAAATCAAAGAAGAGGGGAAAGACTTGGGTAACCAAAAACAGCTGTTGCTAATCAAGGATAAGAAGCTACAGGAAGTAAAAGTAAATAGAAGACAGGAGAGGCAAATCAAAATAAAACATACTAATCTGAAAGACATCACTTTTCAAGTGTCTCACACAGACACTTGACAATACAAGGAGATAACACAGTGAGACTACACAAAACCAAGGATGACTCCCAAACAGAATCAAAAACCAAACTCAGAATGCGAGAAGAATCATAGAAATAAACAAAACTCAGTCCAAACAAGGAATCATAGTTAAGGCTCGGGAATAACAATTAAATATTGTCAAAAAACTCACAGTCATGAAATACATACCATGGATTATAACCAAACGAAGAATACTTAACAATAACAAAAAACAAACAAGCTCAGGGCTCAAAACGGACAACCATGACAATAACTAAAATAGCAAAGACAAAACTACTAAATTAAGTCTTTAGGATTAAAATTGTCTGTAACTATTGCTTACTGTCTTCAAACAACAGGTAAATTTTGCATAAGAAGAAAGTAAATAAAAGACTAAATGCAATATTTAAGTAACTGAGCCTAATATAAAAATGTTTCCTATTGACAAGTGTCCTATCAGTAATGTTTGAAGGTTTATCGATCTGGAGAAGTTAAAGTAAATTGTGGCTTTAAATTTTTAGTTGTAATATCTGTTTTCTGTCATATATCTGTAACACAGGGGATCACATTGTGATCCTGGGTGATGTCTGATATTTAGCCTCTCTATAAATTTCACAAACTCAAACTTTTGAAGACAGTTGATAAACGAAAAATAAACGTGGGAAGCTGTTGCAGCTGACTCCATATTCCTTATACAGCGGCCTTTTATAGAATACTAAAACAGTATTAATCCAATATACAGAATCATAAATGTGTTGCACTGTATTAATGCTACTATTATATGTTATATCTAAAAGTTTCCTTTATAAAAATCTGCCCATGTGACACGCTTTGTCATGAACTGTTTTTTGTCCCCACCGTGTGGTTGTTTGCCACCATCAACCAGGACCAGGTCCGTGTAGAGAAACTGTCTCTAGAGCCGAGAGAAACCACACGTTAGCGTATTTATTTTAATGAAAAAAAAGTTTTAAATGTTTAAAAGAATTTCTTTGTAATTTATTCTTTGTAATTTCCACCTTTAGCGTTTACTCTGCCTGTTGAGTTCATCGCTGGTAGCAAAAGCGGAACTTTGTCCTTGCTTCAGGATTTGAGCGGAGTGTAGACGGTGTAACACGCTGTCTAAGCAACAGCAGTGGAGACGAGTGCTTTTTGATGAAACTTCAAGTGTTTGCAATTTTATGAAGAACAGCCTTTTAATTAATTGATAGCAACTCGAAGGAAGTCCGGTTGTTTCTGTTGTCATTGTGATTCAGCAGGTAGGAGAGACAACGGTTCCTCCTCGTTATTCTTCATTATGTTATACAGGCGATTCTGGTGGCTCGTACGATTGTGGACAGATCCACTCATCGTGGGCATGAATGTAGCAGTAATTTTAGATTTTTGATGATTTCTTGAAAGGGTTTTTTATTTAAATTTATTTCTTATTAATTTTTTTAAGGTTGAATGATTATGCAGCATACGTTTTTAGTAACTTTAACAAAGAAGAATTGGTTGCACAGGTATGGATTTATTTTGGATTTTCTCTGATCCACACAAATATTTACATACACTGACTTCAGTCTGTTAGTAAGTTGCGCTGAAGGCTCTAAAATGTCTTAACCAGATCAGACCAATGCCTGCTAACTTCCCATCAGTAATCATGGCTCATTATAAGTGGTAGAAGTGTCAGGAAACCAGCAAATTTAAATAAACTGCCAATTCTGCCAAGAAGAGTAGTCAAATATAGGAACTGTGGCAGAACTTTGTTGATGGCTAACAAAAGAATCTGGTCAAGTGCAACTTGCTAAGGGGTATTTAAAAATATTAGTTTGGGTACACATCTATATTTAAATCTGTTTGTATAATTTTTTCCCTGTGTGGATTTGAGAAATTCCTAAATGAACTCAAACTTGTGCACCTACTTCTTGTGTTTTAAAGTAGTTGGTGATGTATGTTGAACAATCATGACGAGTGTATGTAAACTTTTGATCACAACTGTATAATTCAGTGAATGTCACTTCTGCTGTTCTGGTAAAACTGTGGAGAACATTACATCTGCTGGTTTGTTTAGACTTGTAAACATTTCTCTATTATACAGTAAGTCCCTTTCTAAAAAATTCTCATAGGCCTGTTCAGTCATGTGTTATGACACAACTGAAGAAAATGTGCCTGAGTTATGTTTTTATTCATGGATTTCTTCGGCATATTGTTTAACTAATGTCATTAACCTTTTTCTCCAGATGTACTAAGTAATTATTATTATTATTTACTGTGCATATCTTCAGCAATATGTGTTTTGTGCTTATTGGTCAGGTCAGATAAACCTTGTGCACCTAAAACATAATTTCTGGCATGATGTTGGATGAGGATGATGATTGCCCAGAGTTGGTGCCCATCGACACACAGCCTGGTCCTCCCGTAGGGCAAATACCGGTCACTATCATCACAGGCTATCTTGGTGAGCGAGATCTGTATTACGAGCTGCTTTAATGAGCTTATAAAAGAGTTATAATCTGAGACTAAGCTGCAGGGTATTGTTTACTCAGCCTGTGTTACATCATAAGTATGGTACTAATATCACTCCTTATATGTTTCTGTATTTATTTATTCATAGGTGCTGGAAAAACTACACTCCTGAACTATATCCTTACAGAACAACACAACAAGCGGATTGCTGTCATACTAAATGAATTTGGAGAAGGTAGTAAACCGTTAATATGCCTCAGAGAAATCAAAAGCAGGCGTTATTTTTGCCTGTTTTGTTCTGTTTTCTTGGTGACAGGTGAATGATTGTTGTTGTTATTTCCTCTGATTTCCACTAGAGGGCAGCACAGTAACAAACTTACACTGATATACAAAAAGCCAAAGTTTTTCATCTAGATTTTTTAAAGTTAGGAACTGCATTTGAAGTATGGCATTGTTGCCTTCATTTATGTTCAGTCAAGCAGTGGACAGTTTTGTAGTTTAGCCTATTTACATTTGTGTTTTTATTAGTTTGATTGGTGTGAAAACCTCATTTGACATCTTTATAGATCTTGTAAATGTTGAATGTATTGGTATAAATTTCTAGGTGTGAATCGCTCATCTTTCCTCTTCTTGCAGGCAGTGCCCTTGAGAAGTCCCTTGCAGTGAGTCAGGCAGGAGAGCTATACGAGGAGTGGCTAGAACTGAGGAACGGCTGCCTCTGCTGCTCTGTCAAGTATGTAGAGTAGCTAAAGCCCATTTAGTGTTGAGTTAGCATTAAGAATATACATTTTGACTCATTTCTATTTCTAATAAGACATTATAATACTACTACTGTGGTAATAATTGGTGCATTTTTATGTGAGATTGGAAAAGTATGAGATTTCTTTTCAGTGTGACAGCCATCTCCAATAAAACTCATAGTTTCACTCTGATTTTTCAGGGATATTATTATGCAATGATTTTTAAACACATGTATAATTTCTGGCACTATGGGTCCCACGATCAAAAAATAAATAAATAAATTATCCTCTCATTCACATTTTGTCAGATATAGAGGAATACTGAAGATATTGAAATATGAAATAATACAAAGAGGATCATGAATAAAAGTGTCTGCGAAGAAAAAATATGTTACAAATTTTGAATTTCTGAAGGTGTCGCCTTTTACATTACGTCAGCATCTTAACCAGCTACATAAGATATTCAGAGGAAATAATTACTAGATATGTGCTATATGTAGTTTTTTTTAGTGTGATTTCTTGCGATCATAATGTTCTTTAGACCATCAGCATGTTGTGTGGGTTTACAGAAACAGTCCTTTTCAAGTTTCCAGCTTCATTAGTCCCCAGTTATTGCAGTCTTAGATCAGAGCCCACACCAATGCCTGCAACGTCCGGTCAGCGTCACCTTAACATAAACTTGCGAGAGGATACTCTGTGAATCATGTCTTCATCATCAAACTGTCGCAAAGAAACTGGGACATTAGACCTGTGGAAACCTGGACTTTGGTTTGATGAATTACCTTCAGTTGTGGTTTCTTTGTGAGTCACAAAGTGTGCGTTTCCGACCACAAAGCGTGAAGGAGGATGTGGGACTGATTTGTGCGTACAGTGAGGGTATAATTTGTGAGCATAGTTTTTTTTAAATAAACTAAAATACATCTGTTGTGTCTGTAAGGCTTATTTGACCAACAGGAAGATTAAGTGCTGTATCACTTGACCAGTTTGAATTGTTTTATATATTTATTGTTACTTTTTGCAAAAGTATTTATTGAGAGTGACCAACATGGACAGGATTAGGAATGGGTTTTAGTGTTAAAGTTAGAGAGGTGACGCTGACATGGTTTGGAAATGTGCAGAGGAGGGATAGTAGATATGTTGGATTAAGGATATTAGATTAGATTAGATAGAACTTTATTAATCCCTCGGGTGGGTTCCTCTGGGAAATTCGATTTCCAAAAAAGCACAGCACCGACAGAAGTTACAGAGTTACAGAATATTATATATATATATATATATAATACACACACACACACACACACACATATATATATATATATATATATATATATATATATATATATATATATATATATATATATACATATATATATAAATACAGAGACAATATAAATAAAATATACGAAGGGGATAAATAGAATAAATAGGAATAAAAATAAAAATACAAGTGAATTGCACATTTCAAGTATTGAGTCTATTGCACCGTTGACTATTTACAAAAGTATTGCACAAAAGGTATTGCACAGTGAGGTGAAGAGGCACTACAGCTTAGTTGTTCCCCCCTCCTTTGTCCTCCTGTTTCCCCTCCCTCTCCCCTCCAGAGAGGAGTTAAACAGTCTGATGGCGTGTGGGACAAAGGAGTTTTTAAGTCTGTTAGTTCTTGTCTTTGGGAGAAGCAACCTGTCACTGAACAGACTCTTCTGGTTGTTAATGGCCGTGTGCAGAGGATGCCTGGCATTGTCCATAATGTCCATCAGTTTCTTTAATGTCCTTTTCTCTGCCACTGTCACCAGAGTGTCCAGCTTCATGCCGACCACAGAGCCAGCCTTCCTGATCAGTTTCTCCAGCCTGCATGAGTCCTTCTTTGCTGTGCTGCTCCCCCAGCACACCACAGCATAGAAAAGTACTCCAGCAACCACCGACTGGTAAAACATCCTCAGGAACTTCCTGCAGATGTTAAAAGACCTCAGCCTCCTGAGGAAGTACAGTCGGCTTTGGGCTTTTTTATACAGGTGCTCTGTGTTGCATGACCAGTCCAGTTTATTGTCCACCCACAGCCCGAGGTACTTGTACTTGTTGACCACCTCCACCTCCTCCCCCTCTATCTGAACCGGCAGTGGACCTGCTCTAGACCTCCCGAAGTCCACAACCAGTTCCTTGGTCTTTGAGGTGTTGAGTTGCAGGTGGTTTGTGTGACTCCATGCGACAAAGTTCCTCACCAGACTTCTGTACTCCTCTTCCTGATCATCCCAGATACACCCCATGATGGCTGTGTCGTCTGCAAACTTCTGAATGTGGCATAATTCAGAGTTGTAGCAGAAGTCAGAGGTGTACAGGGTGAAGAGAAGAGGGGACAGCACAGTTCCCTGTGGTGCTCCTGTGCTGCTGACCACTGTGTCAGACGTGATGTCCTTCAGCCTGACGTACTGTGGTCTGTCGGTGAGGTAGTCGGAGATTGCATTTGTAGCTGCCAGGCAGGAGGAAAAGAGGAAGATCACTGAGAAGATTCATGGATGTAGTGAAGGAGGACATATATAGGGCTGGTGTGACAGAGGAGGATGGTAGGGTTGGGTGAAATGAAGGCAGACGATCTGCTGTGGAGACCCCTAAAGGGAAAAACCTAAAGAAGAAGAAGAAGTGATATATGTTTCATATATTTTATATGTGAACTTACCTTATATCCTACATTCATAATTCTTTGTATATGGTATTGTTCTATAACAGGGGTGTCCAGTGAATTTTCCCAGTTGGCCTCCGTTGGGGCCTGATCAGAGCATCTTATCAGTGGCAGTTTATAAAAAGATAAAATGACTATTGAGCAGAATTGAGTTCCCCATTTTTGGTGTGGCCCTCCACAGCAAAACCCAGTTTCTCATGTGGCCTCCACTGCTCTGTAATGTAGAGATGATTGAAAATATATATAAAAATATAAACATAAATGAGCGGGTATTCAGTCCTTGATTTTGGCTGTTTTGTCAAATAAGAGTTTGTATTGTGTTTTCTTGGATAAGACGATAGGATGTCAATTGGCAAGTTAAATATAAGCTGTCTTTAGTTATTGGTCATTGGGTTTTTTTGTTTTGTTTTTTTTAAGGGACAATGGTCTCAAAGCCATTGAAAACCTGATGGAGAAGAAAGGAAAGTTTGACTACATCTTGTTAGAAACCACTGGACTTGCTGATCCAGGTAACATACTTTTTCATTTTTTTGGAGAAGTTAGAATATGTTGAGCATATATGTGTGTTTGTTTGTAGCTGATTTTAATCTGCAGCACAGGCAGCAAACATTCAGTTATTTGCTGGTTCTGTGAAACCTCAGTCACCAGCTGTTCCACCAGGTGGTGTGTGTGGGCTGGAAGCAGTTTTTTTACAGCCCCCCCCCCCCCCCCCCCCCCCCCCCCACACACACACACACACACACACACACACACACACACACACACACACACACACACAGATGTCATGTCATGAACGTCAGATCTTATTTTTTCGCAGTCTCTGTGTCTGCCAGTCGGTTATTGATTGATTTTTATCATAAATCTTAAATTCACAATTTCAGCTGCTACGTTTTATATCCTGAATGCTAGAGAAAGTTGAACACACCAGTTAAAGTTTTTCAAGTCATGTAAAGGTAAAGATTGGTGTAAACTAGAACCAACAAGGGATGATGGTTGATTCTAGTGTCTTGGCCAGCTCGGGCCTATCTCTGTGGTTTTTGTTCTTCCTGTGCTTGCGTGGGTTTCCTCTGGCTTGCACAGATTTATTCTGTGTTTGAATGCACTGTTTGCATGTATGGTTAAATATGGCTTTGGTCAGTAAGGCTAGAGTAGTGCTAAATTAATGTCAGTCTACTTCCAGTACTGTTTTGACAGGCTAAACGATCTGTTTTAGTGAGATAAAATTCTTGCCTAGAAGTTTTAACCCTCTCAAGGTGGGCGTTGCAGATTTGCAACAGTTAAAAACTAACAACCTGATTACCCCACATACATATTTTATGAGATTTTATTTTATTCAGAAGTACCACTGCAGGACTTGGTTGTGCATTAGCAACAAAAAGTTTAATTTGAGCCTGAGAGGGTTAAAAAGTGAACCATAATTCTTTATTTAGGTTTCTGTATCGTTATGGTAACAGTGTCTCTCTCTGCCTTGCTACACCACATCCCCTTCCTGATGCAACCCCAGTTGAACCAGCTTCTTCTTGCCGAGCAAATGTATTAACCACTGCACTAAGACGTTTACTAGGGATATTCATCTCAAGTTTACCATTTTATAACTAACTGCTGTGATAGTATTGCTATCCATTCATTGCTTAGGCTTGAATCACAAAATCAGTGTTGGGCTATAACAAGGCGAGTGCTATAACATTTGGGATGTGCCACTAAATGACAGGTGTCAGGCGCTAATGGCTTACACAAAAGACAGAACCAACTGAGCACGCTCAGAGTGGGTCTAGGGCTCGCGTCTCTGCCACGTCATTGGCTTGTTACGGACGAGGACAGGTCTGTCATTGGCTCTGGCAGTGCTGTCAGTCATAAAGACTCCCAAGGGGATTATCTCATTTCTTTCAAGAAGAGGCTGGATGAGTTATGTGAAACATGCCACTCAAAAACAGTGTTTTCATTACACGTGCATCAAATATTTACAATGCTTTCTTATTCTGGCTTGGCACTTAGACAAAGGGAGCTATGTGAACAAGCGGTGGCTGGCATGGTAACAGAGGGTCTTGTAATAACCACGTCCTCAGGAAAATAGAAACAAGTCAAATGTACGAGAAGGACAGGAACAACTGAAGGCTTCAGATATTGGTTTTGTTTAAAACACAGACAAAAAATGCATGAAAGGTTTGTGAGAATAATTAAAGTGTTTACTACATATTTGCTGGTTCTTTTGTTCAAATAAAAGACGTACTATTAAGATGTCTTGAATCTGTGGAAATTGTGATAGCTAAAGCATTTTCAAATAAATCAGAAAGAAAATTGTCAGTGGATCTAGCCCTTGGTATCAGACACTTTGCATTTCCTCTGACAGGAGCTGTGGCCTCCATGTTCTGGGTTGATGCAGAGCTTGGCAGTGACATCTATCTGGACGGTAAGAGATATGTAATGATGTAAGTTTGTACTTTGGCGCTTTTGCTGTGTCTGTCAGGTTTTTTGACTTTGCAGCTGTAAAGCCCATCACACATCTACTTCCTATGTAGAGATAAACAGAGATAATGGCGTCTTTGGTGAGGCGTGAAATCACATTTCAAATGTTTACGTTTTATTGCACCCTTCTCTAGTTGCGTGCACATATTGTAAGTCTTTCCATTTGAATGTGTTTGCCTTTATTGTGTTTGTAAAGACGGAGAATTAAAAGTATAAAGCAACAGTTTAAAAACCAAATAGTTTAAGAAACGTATTTTTCATCAGGTGCATGCACACTTGCGTCATGTAAGGTAAATGTGAAAGCCTCCACTCTTAACACTCTTTAGCAGTTGCTTTCACTGTTAATGTACTGCTGCACGTGTTTCTGCTATGTCACACTGTGTCGCGCGCGCGCGCACACACACGCGCACACACACACACACACACGGAGCAGAGAACTGCAAACAGCTGACATTTGTGGCTGGATTTCTATCTGTTTTGGTGCTCATGCAAACAGCCTTTAACTACACTAAACACTTTCTTTAGTTAAAAATTGTTCTGAATTTGATTAATTGCAACTTTTTCACTGCAGAGTTGATTAATTTGAAAATCCCAGCACAGATCTTATTATTCTGTACAAATAACATGATAATAGTGTTGTCAGTATAAAGATCCTAATGTAAACTCTGGTGTGTTTACTTAAGCTTCTCTGGTCCCTTATGTGTATAACTACTACTACTATTACTACCTGTTCTGTACCATTAAAAACAAAATTTGAACGGAATTAAAATATTCTTAAAGGCTAAAATTTAGGTTTTCTGTTTCGGGCCTATGAAGCTCAAATTGCAGAATAAATGTGATTTTAAAAAACATGATCACACTGGCTTAAATTCTGCGTGTTTTTTTTTTTTTTTTTTTTTTTTTTTTTTATAGCGATGACGTACATTCGACAAAAGTATTGGGCCACACCTTTTAATCCTTGAATTCTAGTCTTCTCAGTCCTATTTTCAAAAGTACATAAATATAAAACAGAGCACCTCACCATGCGGTCTGCCTTTACAAACATGAAAGAATGGGTTGTTCTAAAGAGCGCACTGAATTCATTCATTCATATGTGGTGTTATTGCAAAGTGGAACTGCTTAACAACCAACTGGCAGCAGGTCAGCGAGTGCTGAGGTGGATGCAGCCTCAATAACTGACATTAACATCAGCATGAAACCTGTGCACCGGGAGCTTCACGGCATGGGTTTTCACGGGTGAGCAGTTCCTGTAGGTGTTATATTTGGGTGGAGCTGTACTTTTGTCCATGTAGTGTATCTGACTTGGCCAAATTGTGTCTACTTTAAATGGTACCTTGGTTCTCACGCTCAATACTCAGCTGTCTACTCTGTTGTTACAGGCTACAAAACCAAAAGTGTTCTCGAAATAATTCAGACAAAGTAGCTCAGACAGACAAAACCAAACACCAACAGGCAGCTGCTGCACAGAGAGGACAAGCACAAGTTGTGGTTTCGCCTTTAATTCACTAATCCTCGATATGTGGTGTTTTTGTCTCTCCTAGGCATCGTCACTGTCATTGATGCCAAGTATGGACTGCAGGTTTGTGTTGTGTACTTTTGAGTAGCTTTGAGACATTTAGTACTAAAATAATTACTCAAGACAGACAAGATGTTCAAGAAACGGTCTGCAATGAGCATTTGAGTTTAATAATTTGGGAGATTTTGAACTGTTTAATAAGTTCACTTTGCATTGTGGGGACATTCTGATTGATCTTTCACACTGAATAATTAATAATAGGAAGAAAATAACTGTTAGTTGTAGTCTTGACCATGTCAGTCAGCTTCAGTGCAAATTCTGAGTAGTAGCTAAACTCATTTAGTGACTTTTTGGTGCTAAACTTATGCAGTTGTTTGTTAACCTGCAGTAAACAGCAATAGATACGCAGTCACATCCTGCCCCCTTTGTGCTACTTAAAAGGAGTGGGGCAAGTGACATCTAGATAATGGGCTCTAATTTGAAGGTGTCATACTCACTGAGGTGACACATTTCATGGCCTAGGCGCTGTCCTCTCCTCAAAGGCAACGTGAAGAAACTCCTGACAGAAAGACAGGGGATTTAAATCTTAGTGAAAGAGTAATGGATATCAGAGATGTGACCATGTAATAGGAATGTCACATCCACTCACCTGTCTCTCCTTTCATCTATCTCATCAAATATCTGTCTGTCCTAAATTTATATAAATCTATCTGCCCCTGACTTTTCAGTCCCAGGAGAGAGGATGTCAGATAAAAGCAGCAATTGGTCATTCTATTAGGTTTTATTTAATACATTTTTTGTCATTCAGTCCTCTAGAGACAAAGCTGTGGTGATTCAGCCGATGACAGATTAATGTCACACTGGCACTAAGGGTCAGGACCCAGATTAACACCTCCTGCTCTCCCTGTTATTACATATTAAGCTGTTTTGGAAAATGCAGCACCCCCAGTGCAGTCTTTTGTGTCCCATCCAGCAAGAAGAGGAGATAAAAAGAAAATGGAAAGTGATCTCCCGTGGTTCCACGTGTTAAGAAAATCACTTAATTTGCAGATATTAAACGCAGGCCTTTCTTATCTATCTCAGTGTCACATTTTTGTACATATTAGCTATTCTGATTCTTGAAAGAACGCATAAAGCATGAGCAATGCAGCCCCTTTAAATTCTTATTATTATTTGTCATTTTGACGTTGCATTTGTAACTTATCTCCACTCTCCACATGTTAGCAACTAGCAGAGGAAAAAGCAGATGGACTTGTCAATGAAGCAGCCAGGTAAGTTGGCTGTATTTTTTTTTAAATAATTTCTTTGGAAGCAGGAGCCATTTATTGTCTTTGCAAAGCTATGCTAACAAACTTTATAATTACTGTGCAGACATGAATAGGGTGGATTTCCCAAAATTACAGACAGAACCAACCGCACAGTATCGCCATCATCAAGCTTTTATGACTCAATGTGGACTCTGCTCTCGTCGCGGCTCTGTGTTTGTCTCCCAGCTTGTGTCTTACAGCAGCTGTGTGCTGTTGTCGTTGAACAAATATGCTGATGACAAAAGAGCAGTTGCGTGACCTTTTGCATCCTTTGTCTTTGTGTATTCACCTCTAAACTAAACAGTGCTCAAGTCTCACTTGAGTTTGCTGTGCATTTCATGTTGCTACACATTAAGACTTACTAATACATGCCCATGCTACTGTATTATTTAGCCTCTTTTTTCCGCTGGAAAATTGACACACTTAATCACAATGAAAAGAGGTGCGGTAGATGGTTGCCGGTCATGTATAACTTAACTTTTGTGGTTGTCAGTGTCGGTTTTATTTCTGTTGCACACTTGAAAGCAACAAGGTTGGTCAAAGTGCTTTACAAGTTAATTTCAAACAAACAAGATAAAACCACATATCAATGAAACAAAACCAGTCAAACTGACTAAAAACAAGTTGGAAAAAACCAAACAAACGCCACAGCGTAAAACACCTGATGGGAAAATGAGCTTGAAAAAATGCCATGGTAAAAGCATTCATTTTAAGATGGGATTTAAAAATATCTCGACTAGATGTTCTAAATGCAGTTTTAGGATGATATAAGTCGAGCAGCTGGTTAAGAAGTAGCACCAAAAGTGAGTAAAAGAATCCTAAAATCAATTCGAAAATGGGCAGGGCCCTGTGTAAACCTGCTAAGACTGGAGTTATGTGATCATGTTAAAGAGATGTGCAGCAATATTTAGGACTAACTGGAAGCAAAGGAGAGATTAATGTGTGCACAATCAAATTACAGAGAGTTACAGTAGTTTAATCCAGAGGTGATGATGCAATGATAAGTTGGAGGAAGTTGAGATTTTACTTTGGCAATTTGAGATAACCAATAAGAACTGGTCTTAACAACTGTGTTCACTTGCTTCTCTAATATAAAATAAACTGACTAAAAACTTCTGTAGATGTACATCAAATATTAATGTTGTGAAAGGTGTTGCAGGTGCATAAATACTAGAAATGCTCTTTTAGCCAGTTGCCAGGCAAGATCATGACTGCATAATATCTGATTATAGATAAGAACCTTCATGGGACTGAGGTGTACCTGTGTGTCAGGTTTTCTACACTTCTTTGTGGGTTTTGTTTTGTTTTTTGTCCGTTGTTGGTGTCATAGAAAATTTAAAGTGCGTGTTCACTTGTCACATGAACTCAGCGTTGTCTTTATTATCCTTTCAGACAAATTGCTGTTGCTGACTTGACCATTATCAACAAAACAGACTTGGTGACGGAGGAGGAACTAAAGGAAGTCAAAGACACTGTCAGGTCAGCATTCAATATTTTGTCCTGGTTGTCATCTCCCTATTTAGGTGTCTGTAGAGTGGATATGTGTAAAGTTTATGGTTTCTCTGACTTCAGGTCTATAAATGGGCTCGTCAAGATCATAGAAACCCAAAGATCAAGGTGAGTGGTAAGGTATAGGGAATCGTGTTGTGAGAAAGGGTTAAGTGGCTTCTCTGTGGCCTGGTCCCCTGCTGTGTTTGGTGTGACTCCTGCTCAGATCTTTGTGTCAAAGATAAAGCTGTTCAGACGTGACTTGCACATGTACAAACACAAACTGCTGTGACCTGAGTAAACACCAAACCCCTGCGTGGTGTCCAGTTTCTCACAAGGCTTTGCTCTCTGACCCCAGGTCTGCATATGTGCGAATGCGCATGCATCCAAGTATGTGTGCGCACGCACCCTGCTGTGCGTTATTGAACCCAGGTAGCATCTGGCTAACACAAGCATAACTCCTTCAGAGTTCAGAACTGGGTGAGCAGATGAAAGACGCCATGCAGCGAGGGGTTAACCGAAAAAACATTGTCAAAACTTTTGGGGGTTTTGTGCCTAATTCAGCTGACTTGGTTACTTTGTTTTAGAAAAGTTTAAATGTCTGGCTTAATTTATTGATTTATTACTCAACTTGGTGTGGAATTTAAATTAAACTAAAGAATAAAATAAAATAACTTGTGATCTTTGTCTGCAGGGTTGATCTCTCTGAAGTGTTGGATCTGCATTCCTTCGACAGTAAGGACGGAGCAAAGTGAGTCAGTTTAATTAACTCAAGTTATTATTGAAAGCCAAACATAACATCAGTGTAGATAACTGGTACACGTGTAAGTGCTGCATGATTATTGACATCCTCATATGAAGAAACAGATTTTCAAAATAAAGCTTAAACTAAAGATGATACAAATATTTATGTTGAGGTGTTTAAGGTATGTTACTGAGAATAAGAACTGACGTGAAACCCTAAAGAAATTCAAGAAAATATATTGACATAAAAGCATTTCAGAGCTGAAATCTTTCTTTGGCACTTTATTAATGCATTGTCCAGTTTATGTACTGCTCACTACTTATATCTGTTGTCCTCATCTCAAAAACTTGCAGTCCAAAGATAAAAACATAATAATTTTGATGCCACTGATGGCCTCTGCTGCTACTTTGAACTGTCTACCCAGCAGTCCTGATACCGTGGTGACCATGTTTCTCCCTAATTAACAGACTCTTTTATTGAGCATCCCTCTGTTACACCACAGGATGATCATCACATTGTATCCCCTGTAGAATGCCATTATAATGAAAAGAATCAGTGTTCATCCCTTCATGTGAATGTGTTAAAGCTCTCTTACATGCCCCGAGTCACTGTCTCTGGGCCAGCTGCAGAGGATTAGTGCTGTGTGTGTCCATTGGCTCCCGAGGAGTTTCCCTTGTCCCAAAAGATAGCTCCTTTACCCCTGCCTTTGAGATCACGGGCCCCGCCTCCCTTCAATCCCATGCTGGCTGTTTGAAGCGGCCCCCCGCCGCTCAGCCTGTGTGGCACTAACAGCACGCAGGGCTCAAGCAGCTGGACACAACATTTAGCCTCCTTGTGAGGTCAGGGAGAAGTGGGGGCACAAGGGCTGTAGTTTGTTTGGAAGAGTTGGTGGGTGTTCTGTAGGATTTAATTGGCATTTCTAAAGCCTTTGCAAGTCTGTTTAGAGCTGTAATTAAGCACAGCATACATTGCATTATACTTTGAGATCAAACACAAAGAAGAAATCTCTAAAGTCCACTTCTTTTCTGTAGAAGATTAGGAGGAAACAGATAAAAGTCATCAGTAGGGTCAAGTACATTTGCAGTTGGTTAACCTTTATTTAATAATGAAGGCCATAATGATAATGTTTTTGCAATAGGCAGTAATACATAAAAGTAAACATACCACAAAATCAGAATTAAACTTTGCAGCTTTCGAGACAACGGAGATGGTTCCAAGCATTTTTTCCAGATGCCATTTTTAGATAGAAGCTTAAACCTGTCTGGCTGGTTAACCTCAAAAACAAAGCAGTGGCTTCTTATGAGCTCAGCATCAGTGTTTGATTGTTATTGATCACTCCTGACCAACTCTGGAGGAAAAAGTGAATTCTTTTTTCTGCTTGTGTTTTTTTTTTTTTTTTTTTTAATGAAATGAAATAATTCCAGGTATAGCAGCAAACTTCATAACTTGTGCTTCATCTTAAAGTCCATTGAGGGGATCCCACTGTCCGCAGTAGGAAGCACTGCAATAAGCAATAAACCCCTTAGATTAACTGTTACCAATTTAAAATAATAACAGTGTGAGATCAACACAAACAGGTTCTTAAATGTCCCGCGACGTCAGCTATCAGAGAAGAGGACACACAGTACAAAAATAGTAGAGGCAGCTCCAAAGGCACAAAATGTAATTGGTGGTCTAACATAACATAATATGCAAAGAGTATATATATATAATTAGATTAAATTAGATTTTTTAAAATTTTGCTTCTGTACACCACTGCAGTGGGCTTTAAGTCAAAACAATGGGGTTAAACTATTGCATTAACTGTTTAGGAATTACAGATATTATCCACAATCTCCCATTTTCAGAGGCTCAAATGTAATTGGACAAAGAAATAATTTTTTTAAGTAATTACTTTTTAAATTTTTATTTAAAAAACACTGGTCAATAACTCCCAACACTGTTTCTCCCCCTGCTCTGCTAAGCTTTTACTGCAGCTGCCTTCAGTTGCTGCTCATTTGTGGATTTTTCTGCCTTCAGCAGCTCTGGATGCTCTGTTAGGTTGAAACCAGGTTACTGACATGCACTGTGGACCTCATATATAGAGTTTCCAGTGTACAGTTACCAAATATCAAAGTTCATCACTTAGAATCATCTTCAGATCTTTTAGCTGCTTAATCTGTCATGAAATAATAAGAAAACGGGTCTCACCTGGCTGTGAAACTACTCGACAGTCCTATTATGTTTAAGCCTCTGAAAAACAGGAGGCTGTGTAAAAAAAGAAAAAAAGAAAAGAAAATGTCTGTAATTCCTAAATAGTTCATGATGTAGTTTTGTTACACCCTTTGAATAAACGCTGAAAGTCTGCACTTCAACCATTTCATTTAAAATCCAATGGGGTGGCGTACAGAGGCAAAACTGCAAATACTCTACTGTAATATTTTAAAAATGAGGTTGATTTACTTTATCTGTTTTTATCTGAGTGTCACAAAAAATCTATGTAAAACCATAATTTCTCTTATCTCGAAGTCTTGCAGAGAAACTCCAACTTGTCAAACCTACAAGAGCACATCTTGACAAGGTATTGTCTCTTTCAGTTGATTTATTTCCTGTTCTTGAGCTTTGTACACCACTGGGAGTTTTTCTTGTTTTGTTTGCTAATTTATTTCAACACATCATTTCCTACGGGAGAAAGAGGGCTTCATTGTCCTCAGGCTAAAACTCTGCCCTGCATTCCCCTGGGCTGTCTCACTGTAGTGAAAAATCCCTTCCCGCAATGCTTTTTGTGATTAGATCAACTTGAGGCTTTTGATGTTTTTTATGACATTTTAAACAAACCCTGACTGAGTCATACACAACTTAACATTCACAGCTGACAGACTTGCAGTACTGAGCAAAAGTTGAAAGTCGGTCTTTGTTTCTTTATATTTTGGTAGGAAAATGTGGAATAGGTGCAGTGATTTATTGAATCATGCACGTAAATACAATATTTCCACATTACTTCAGTAATATTGAGGTCCGGGCTCTGGGGAGGCCAGTCCAAGACTAATGGTCTTCTAGTGTGTGCTTTTCTATCCATGTATGCTTTTACTTGACTGCCAGTGTGTTTGGGATCATTGTCATGCTGAAAAAATGAAGCTGTTGCTGATCAGATACTTTCCAGATGGTATTGCATGGTGGATCAAAATCACACTGTACTTTCCTTCATTTGTAATTCCATCAATTTTGACATGATGCCCAACACCACTGGCTGGAAAGTAGCTCCAAATCATGACAGAGCCTCCATCGTGTAAACACTCACTGCTGTATCTCTCTGCTGACCTCTGCCTTATACACTGATGAGAATTTGTACCAAAGCTTCATCATGCCATCAGACCTGTTGCCACTTGTTTTTCAGCCCAGTTCTTTCTATTTGGCACACAACAGCCGTTTGCAACCCTTTCAGAAAGCCTGAACAACTAAATATATAGAGAACTTGAGGGTCGCTCGAGAATTTTACGCAATATTGTGTGTTGACTAGATGATCACGACACTGGCAAGAATCTTCTCTGCGTTTTGTGGCGTTATAGTTGTTTAAACAGAATCCATTTATGAATCCAGGATGTTGGATATGAATACAAAATATAAAGTGTAACTCTAATCACAATTGTCTCTTGAGCTGATTTGTTTTCATATTAAATAATATTTGGCAAAACTTTGTTTCTTCCAGGGTTAGTTTCACATGGATGTGCTCATCAGTTAATAGATCGTATGCTTCCTTTAAGCAATTAGGTCTCTTTCTGTTGTCACTTGTGCTTTATACCCATGAACTTTTATCACAGGATGAGGAGAGATTAGGGTTATTTGTGTGGGTAAATCACAGCATTGTTGTCTTTTTCTCTCAGGTTTCCTTTCCCGCATGAAGCTCAACAGGCACACTCTCAATCCCCTCCACCTCTTCTCCCCCCATGTTGCTCTTTTCATGTAAATGAGAATGCTCTTATTCTGTTGTTATACTAAAAGACAAGGAAGTATATAACTTTAACACTTTGACACAAAACCCCTCAAATATCTGCAAAGTGCCCTTTAAATGCTGTGAGGAAGTATGGAGGGGAGGGACTGTGTTTCTGTGTGAGAGAGAGGAAAAAGAGGGGGGGGGGGGTGATAAAAAAAAAGGAGTGTGGAGCTGGGTTTCAGGTGCCACGTGGGGTCGTGTTGTTTCTCACGTTCATTTACAAAGTCATCAGTTTGGGTGCTAGAAAAACACTTCTTTTGTTTAGCTTTCATTACGACTTTGCTAGTTTCAGTAAACTGAAAATTTATGTGAATTTGTGTTTGAAGTAAATCCCATCAGTTCTGCTCAGGGCACAAACGTATAGAAACCAAGCATGTTTGAAGTATATACTTTTAATTTTAAAAGTAATAATATTTTTCTAATTATATGTTTGATTTTGATATTGTATGTTGCATCCTCAGAGTATTTTAACTGTGACCTTTGAAATTGCTGGGGATTTGTCTGAGGACGCCTTGAACGCCTTCATCCAGGTGAACACGCTCTTCATCATTCATATCTCTGCTGTTATTGCTAATTATATGCAAAACGGCAACGTCCTTTGAATTTATTTTCCTCCGTTTCAGGATCTGCTGTGGGAAAAGATTTTCTGTAACAAAGACGGGCAGCCGATGAGCGTCATCCGCTTAAAGGTACAGCACAACACAATAGACACCCCGGTGGCGACAGTGATCAATAATGTGAGCCTTATTAACTACTGTAATCAGTTCCAAATGTGTGGTTAATGTGTCACCGGTGTGTTTTTTACAGGGCATAGTGTCGTTTGCAGATAAAGGCCACCAAGTGATGCTGCAGGGGGTTCACGAGCTGTACGAGCTGAATGAGACGCAACAGCTCTGGGAGAACCCGCGAATAAACCGGCTTGTCTTTATAGGTGAAGACGCACACACACTTTTTTGTGTTTATGCACCTCATACCACTCTGGAACAGTATCACACTCCAGCTGTGTTTAGCTGACTCTGTGGGTTGCTTTGAAAAGCTGTAAAAACAACTTTGTTGATGTTGAGACTTTTGCTCATAGAAACTATTTTTACTCTACCGGTTTACTTTATTCTGTGTTGTAACTTGATTTTGTATTAACAGCACTTTAATTTACTGTGATTCCTCCTACTTTTGATTTATTTATCTCTATTTTATTGTAAATCACTTTGACTGCATATCAGTGAAAAACACAATTTTTGCTTTCTTACTACTTAAAATTCAGCATGTTGCATTAAACGATTAAAATGGTCTTTTGTTATAGATTTTTAAATCATTCTCTGTGCCAGTATTGACTACATGGAGATAGTTTACTAACGTTTATTCACCATTGTAAAATTGTTTTTCTGGTTATAAAAAAAAAAAAAAATCATAAATTTTCTTTGCGTCCTAGTTTTCTGTCTAGCTTACTTATTGGTCATTAATAACCAAAGGACGTTACTGTAAATGGAGGCATTTTATCTGCAGTGGAAAAAACTCCTACACTTTTCATATCTGTGTGTGGCCAAACTTTATCAAAATCCACTTTGTTTTGCAGGAAGGAACCTGGACAAGGACATTCTGCAGGAAAAGTTTGTTTCTACAGTGCTACTCGGCTCAGAGAAAAATTAGCTTCAAGCCCTTTTTTCCTCTTCTTCGCTTCAGATTTTGACTCTGGAGCAAAAGCGTTGGGACTGGCTGTCCTGCGATTGTCATTCAGACTCCTTTTCTATATGAAGATTTGGTAGATCAGAGGGTGGATAAAGTGTTTAGGCACTAGTGTCCATCACAGCCTGCTTTAAAAGCTACGTTTAGAAGGAGTTGTAGATTCTGACCCTGAAAATTTACCCAAAACAAGTCCAGTGATTTAATTAATCCATTGCATTTTTAGAAAGTTTTATTTAATAAAATAAACATATTTACAAAGTTAGGAGCCAACCCAGCAATGCACATGCTCTGCTACTTGGGGAATGGATGGTACTTGAAGTGGTCCTACCTATGTTTCCCACTTTGAATATGTGGATTTTAAATTATTCAAAATAAACGTTTGTTTTTCTTCTGAAGTATGTATTCTACTGATTTCCTGATAAACCTACTCAAAACAATTGTTTTTCATCAGTTTCCTGGTAAAATAGCATCACTGCTTATAAATATTGTTCTGAATAGATAAATGTAAGTAGCACGGTTTTCTTTAAATTAATTTCCTTTTCAAAAAATACACTGTGTCATTTATTTTCTTTTGAATAATGCAGTTATTTGACAATACTGTGAGGGGCGCGCCTCACAGTATTGTCAAATAATAGCGCTTGCAGCTTTAGTTGATGATTGTAACACTTGACAAATTCGCCCTTGACAAATACAGCTACTCTATTTTTATTTTTTATTTTTGGTATTTGTTACTTAAGCCTTCATTGATACAGGTATGTGAGAACCATCTCTTGCGCGCACAGTAGGTCCTGTCAGGTGAAGAAATGGGTGGAGTTTCCCCAACTTAGTCATTTGCAATGGAGATGCTACAGCAGCGCTGTTTTAGCACATGTCTGATGTCGGCCAGGTTTGCTTTAAGAACGGCTTTGCATTACATTTGTCGCGATTGTAAAACCAAGGTGCGCGCAAACACAAAGCGCACCGTGCAGCTGTGCCGTTTCCGACTGCGATTCTGATGCTGATGGCCTCGTTAAGGCGACTGCTGCAGCTTTTCTTAACTGGCTGCGGGAAGCCCTACCATGGCCATTTTCATGGTCAAACCACCCACGGGCATCCAGAGGTGGCAAACTAAACGAACCCACAGGGGGTTCCGAGTGAGAAAGCCTTGATTTCTTATCACGTGCTAGACCTGGTGTTAAAATTCTCAAGACACCCCCCCACACGCACACACCACTCTGCTGCTGTGCGATTTGTAATATAAAATGTAAGTTTTAACTTGTTATTTGTTTCTTAGAACAAGACAGTTACAGGTCGATGAAGAATCAAAGATTTCGATACCGGCAACCATAAAGCGAAAAAAACAAACAAACCCAAACCCAACAACTAGTAAATCAGATGCAATGTTTTTTGTATAAGAGTGTGTGTGCGCGCGCGCAACGTCTCCGCTTCCAGGATTTGTATAACTGAAATAAAACGCGTAATAAACACAATAATAACATACTGGCACCGTGGTGTTTCTATGTATTGTGTGAATGGGCCTTACGCACATCAGGACCACGCAATCCCCCTTTCCTCATTTGTTTGCTTCCCGGGGCTCCCCGCGGTGTAAGGCTACTCTGATAGGTCCAGAGGGTTAATGGGACTGGCCTGCAGGGCAGCAGCTTACTAGGATATAAAGCCACAGCTCTCATCACGATAGCACAAGGAGTATCAATAGATTCGCTTTTACGCACAGTCGAGGGGCCTGTTGGTTTTTACGCACGGCAAACCATTAAGGCCTCTTTGGCACAGTTTAGTTTTTACGCGTTTGTGAGAAATCTTAGGTGTGACCATGACTCTCTCAAGTGAATTTGAAGCTTCACAACATGCCGGATTGCCTATACAAGAGGATGCGATTGACATAGTAGGCGAGGATGTCCACTATCGAAATGAGTGCTCTACGGGTTCCTCAGCAGAATCTGGTGCGGAATTTGACTCTTCAGAACCAGAATCGTCGGGGGAAAGCGAGAACAGTTTCTGCGCAGACGCACCGGCGTCAAGGAAAGCCCAGAGCAGCTCGGTAAAGCCCCCGTACTCCTACATTGCTCTCATCACCATGGCTATCCTGCAGAGCCCGCTGAAGAAGCTAACGCTTAGTGGCATATGTGACTTCATTAGCAACAAGTTTCCCTACTACAGAGACAAGTTTCCCGCTTGGCAGAATTCGATCAGGCACAACCTCTCCCTTAACGACTGTTTCATCAAGATTCCGAGGGAGCCCGGAAACCCGGGAAAGGGCAACTACTGGTCTCTGGACCCTGCTTCGGAGGACATGTTCGACAACGGCAGTTTCCTTCGCCGGAGGAAACGGTTCAAGAGAAACCAGCCCGAGTTCGGCAAAGACGGACTGATGTTTTATTCCAGCTTTAACTGCTGCCGGCCGTACGGACACCCATATAGCATAACTGGCCAGGTAAGCCACACGGCTGCCTCTTCTATTCGTTACATGCCCCTGCAGGAAAGCATCATGATGCCTTCCTCATCCTACCACCTCCTACCACAACCCCTGAACAGCCACGGAAAGTGCGTTGGGCCTAAAGACTTAAGAGCACAGCTTTGCGCAGCAGAACCAGCTGAGCCGAAATCCGGCCCACAGGCAAAGTGCTCCTTCAGCATCGACAGCATCATGAGCAGACCCTCTTCTATCAGTCAGCACAACTCAAATCCACAGCAAGGCCCGCACGGTGCTCTCGGTTACGGTCAACTCATGCCTGGCCCTGCTGCCTGTTTGGTTCCGACCCTCCTGCAGCCTTCAAGGAATCAGTTTTGCCCTCCTCCCATCCTGAGCACTGCTCCTTTTATAAACGAGCACCTCAGACTGTCGTACCCTCGTTGCTGAACCCTTTGAAAACACTTTACAGTGTCTGTATGTTTGGCGTAGCTCATTTCTTAAAGAAATGTTTTTTTTATTGCATGATATTTATGTGCGTTATGTCTGTAAATAAGATGTGTTGTAATATATTTGTCAAGGTTGCTTCAGGGGAAAACTTCGTCAATGTGAATGTGTTTTTTTTTATTAAGTAACGTGGCAAAATAAAATGAATATGTGGGAAACGATTGCAAGTTTTGTTATAATCTGAGTCAGTGCACAGTGCTCGTAAGAGCTATATGTGGATTTACTCAGAGCAGAAATTATTGTTTGTGTGTAAGTTTGAAAAACACTTAGATTTTCTATATTTCTGTAGTCTTTATTGATATTTGTACCTGAAGTACAGGTGATGCCAAACTTTTATTTTAGCTACAGCAAAAATGACTTACTATAATTTAACTGACAGTATTTACCGTAAGGGTTCAACATTGTGTTGGCCTGCTTCCTCTTGATCAACTGAACTCACTTGTAGTCTGCAGGCTACAAGAATGATGACAAAAATCAGGTTTTATTAAAGTAAGTCAATGTCAAATTATAAAAACACATTTCCAACCAGGAAATGAATAAAAGCTATACAAACGCAGGGCTTAAACTCGCACTGGTCATTGCCGATAAAATAATGAAACTCACTCAAATGAAAGTTAATTAGCAGGTTTTAGAAATGAAACTCTGTATCCCTAATTGGTACTCTCACGTTTACGTGTTTCATCAAGTATACAAAATAATAATAATGATAATTAAAAGTCACTTTTTCCATTCTGCCTCAAGGTCGCACTGTTTCCAAAATATTGGAGCAGATGTTAGCGCACTGAAGTTGGTCCGTGTTATGGGATGGGCTACTTAAGAATTTACAGAACACCCAGAATTCAAGATCTATCAAAACATTTTCAATTCAGAAAATAATAACAATTAAATAAAAACGGTACACTCTGATACTTCTAGATTTCTGTGACTATAGTAATGGCCTGGGTTAGAGTGAAAAGCACACACACACACAGGCGTGTCCGGTTGCAGACCGGTGCCGACACAATTCCCTTTTGCCATCAGTCAGATGTCTATTTTTGGCCGGAGGCTCAGCTGATTGTGAGTCTTGACGAGTCCACCCCTCCCTTATTTTTTTCTTCATAGTCAGTTGTTCAGGCTTATTAGAAGAGGGAGTTGTCCGCCAGCAGAGGAGGAGAGTGCTGGTGGCTGCTTAGCTCAGCCAGTACTATAGGATGCGACTCCTGGCTTGGGTCGAGGTGAAAACATTTTTGATTGGCTGTTTCTTGTCACTATAGCCATTTCGTCCCTGTGTGGGACTGCTGTCACCGCTTTTTTCCTCGACGGTGGGGAAACAACCTTTACTTCACTCTAGACTGACAAGTTGCATCTTTGAGCTGTTTCTATCGAACTTATTTTTGTACTCAGTGCTGTAAACTCCTACAAAACAAAACAAAACAAACAAACAAAAAACTCCACCAAACTTGCTTGATTGGTTAAAGAGGATGGAGACGAGCCCGATCCCGGTGGTGACGGTCCAAACCGCCCCCTTCGAGGACCAGCGGCCCGGTACCAATGGACTGCGGAGGAAGACTGCGGTGTTCGAGGGGAAGAAAAACTACTTGCAGAACTACATCCAGAGCGTGCTGTCCTCCATCGACCTGCGGGACCGACAGGGTTGCACCATGGTGGTGGGCAGCGACGGCCGCTACTTCAGCCGAGCTGCCATCGAGGTGATAGTGCAAATGGCAGCTGCAAACGGGGTAAGAATAGGGCGACCACCAGTGTCATGCATTTGTTCCTCTCTGTCAGCATGCAGGAGTCACTTGTAACCAGCAGTAATGTTACTGTTCTGCTCTGCGTTGGTGTGAGTTACTACAAGCAGGCTTAAACGCTTTTAGAAAAAACACTTCTTGTTGGAATGGAAGACCAGCGGAATAATTATTCAACTTCACCAACAAACTCAGGATGTTAATGTAGCCTATGGCTTCTTTTGACCTGCACATATGTTTAAATCATTAACACAGAGATGGAACAATTCACTGGGCTGGGAAATTTAGGGTCATCAGATGTTATTCTGCTACTTCTGGTGGGACTTTGGGAGTTTTATAATAAATCAGAATTGTGCAGTCGCTTATAGTTTTTTCACATTTGCAGTAATTGTTGATACTGATACATACAAACCTGCTGAATTGAATTTAACAAGTCAGCTGCAAATAGGTTAAAATAAGAAGACAAAGTGAGGCACTGAGGAGGAAAGTCCCTGCAGCTCTTAGGCTGTGAGATCTTTGCAGTTGGCTTGGAAAAGTTCCAAAGGAAAATTGGAAAGGAATATAATTTGTTTTGGGGATCAGTGCGTTTAAAAAAAATTCTTTCTGCTGGTCCAGCCAAATGTCTTCTGGTGTCAGCCTTATCAGCACTTCCATCCATCCTGCTCTATTTTCCTGCCTACGTCTGCCCCCCACCACCGCTAACACACTGCCTACACCTCGGTGTTCAATCTATCAAGGGCTAAGTCTACATGCT